TGGCAAGTAAGATTGTGCATCTTGGTTTGGACAGCAGATGGGAGTTACAAGAAAGCTCTTAAACCATAATGCTAGAAGAAGGATCCTTTTGTGTGCAAATGATCCAGGGGCAAATTTTTCCTTTTTTGAAAGTCACAAAACTGTTGCATTCTGTTCTGACTGAAGGGATCCCTAAAGCCCAAAATAGTGCGGTTAAAGGGTGTTGAAAAGGAAAAAAAAATTCTGAGAGCATGAGGAGCAAAGTGATATGGGAACATGGCAGGATTTTAGCAGGATAGCAGTCCTGTCTAGTCTCTGAGGCAGTGGAAAATTCAGGATTGGGGTGGGAAACCATAGCAGGAATTGGAGAAGTTTGGTCCCCTTTAGGCACTGGGAGGGGCTCTGAAGTCTCCCTGGCACCTTCTCCAGGCTGAACAAGCCCAGCTCTCTCAGCCCGCCTCCATAGCAGAAGTGCTCCAGCCCTTGGATCATCACTGTGACCCTTCCCTGGAGCCACTCCAGCAGGTCCATGTTCTTCTTCTGCTGGGTACCCCAGGTCTGGGTGCAGAGTTACATCTGGGTTCAGGTAAGTGTTTATTGATCACAGTTACTCCCACAAGCCAGCCCAGATGGGAGCAGAGCTCCCTTCACCCCACCCCTCCTGTTCCCATGCCATGGTGCTTTTTCCTGCTGCTTCCCGTGAGCTGTTGGCTCTTGCCCTGCCCTGACTGCTGCACCAGCCTGAGGACACTGCCCAGATGTGTGTTGCCAGTTCTCTAGAGTTTGAAGGAAAACCCAAACAAATCTCTGAATCAAAGTAAAGGTGTCTTGCAAACTTAACCTAATGCTTTCTAAAGCTGTATTAACACTAAATTAAATTCCAGTCTGTCTGTTCATTTTCCTCTTAGACTTTTATCCTTGTTTGTTTGAGAGAGCTAGTGAGTCTTTTAGGACTCATGGTACCTTGGTTCCCTTTTAGAATGGAGCAAACCTTAGAGTTTTGCAGCCAATTTTCTTTAGATACTATGAGTTTTCATTCCCTTTTCATTTAAAAGACTTCCACCATTTAACATTAAATGCTGGGCGACAAAACCCAGTTGCACTTCCAGTTGGAAAGAAATATGTGTAGCTCAGAGGAGGAATTGTGCATGTGAGGGGATGGCTTTGAGGTGGATCAAACAGGTGCTCAGTCAGCTGCTGGAGCTGAAGTACTTTTCTTGTGGCTTGAGTGTCTGATGGCAAGAGACTGAGATTTTAATAGCAGAAAGAAGAAATTTCCAACTAATTTTCTCTGAGAACTGTCACTTGTAAATCTTCTCAGGCCTCCGGTTGTCTGACCTGTCCCTGCTCCAAAACATGGTTAATTTTTATTCTTTTTAAATGTCTTGTGTTTCATTTGCAGAGAGTATGAGGGCGCTGGGTATTTTTTTCAGGACATTGACAGTAGTCTGTGAGGGAGGAAGTCCAAAATTATCCCCAAAGAAACGTTTGCCTGTCAGCCCTACTGCTTCTCAGAGATGAGCTACTGGTGCATGTGTGGAGACTCAGATTCTCTGGTATTTTCAGGAGAGGTGATGGAGGGAAAGGAGTTGTTGGCCATGAGCCTCATGCTGCCAGAATCACCTCACATACAAGAGCTGAAAACCCAGAGATTTTTTCCATTATGCATGCAGTGTATTTCTAATTTAAACTCAGTTAATTCCTTCCTCATCCTGTGAGGTTCCAGAGTGGTGGCCTAGGGAGACACAAGAACAAAGATTTTAGAGGCGCCCATCCATCCCATGTCATGTTTTACACCATTCTGATTTTTGGCTGGCTTAAGGGGGACCAGAAGCAGGTCTGGCATCTCCAGGCCGACCCTGAGTGTTGGTGTGGGGCAGGCTGAGCCCTTGAGGGCACACACGCGTGCTGGAGCGCCCCAAAGAAGTGGGGCCCTATTTGGGGCTGAGCCGCAGGAGGCTGTGAGGTGACTGGAAAAAGGAATGTGGCAACTCCCAGTTCAAAGAAAGAAAAAGAAAATTTTATTTTGGGAGATGAGGGGAATGAGAGAGGGGGCTGAA